ATCATTTTTAGGCAATATTCTTTACTAATATTTAGAACATCTGGGGAATTCCGTCTATCGGGTTCTTTTCCAACCCTTTTCCTGCTCCATCCCATTGATTTAATGCATCTAGATATTCTCGAATCACTCATTTTGAGATGAGGTGGTAAATTTTCCACTATATTTTTTAACGTCAATCCATTATTATGTTCTAGTAGCTGTATAATTTTAGATTTTAATTCTGAATCATCTTTTTTTGTTCCTTCCTCTTTGATGGATTATGTAATCGGCCAAGGGGTCACCGTAGTATTCGGGAAATGTTATCCTTTTGAAACGGTATACCGAAGCAATGGATAAATTGAGATCTTGGGCCATTGTCTTTGCGCTTGCCTGTTCAAATTTAGCTTACTAAGCCATTTTTTGGCTATGGCTATTTTTTCTTGACTCCAAGTGCCATGTTTCTTTTGTGGTTTATGATAGGTATCAGAGTTTGTTGTAGAACCAATTATTTGATTAGGTAAAGGAATATTTGTTATGTCAAATAAAGCTGAATGTGAAATATTTTGAGAATAAGTTGATTCTTCCTGTGAGGAAAAATCTAAAAAATTAATACATAATAAAACAATATAATGTTAAATGTTAAAACCCTGTAGATGTAGAAAGGTCTAAGATACGGGAGATAGTGAAATTATTCATAATAAATATATTTGGCACCTTTTAAATTGGCCAAAATTTCTTCAAACCTAGGCAATGGATTTACCTAAACTACCCATCTATTTAAGGTTACACGGAAATCAGCACATAGCCTTAGTTTTCCATTTGATTTTTTAACGGGAACTAATGGTGTGGCCCACTCACTATATTCAATTGGAATAATGATGCCATCTTTAACCCATTGATCTAATTCTTCACCGATTTCCTTTATACATTCAAAAGGAACTCGTCGACACGCTAGAAAAATAGGCAAAATCCCTCTTTTAATTTTACATCCACTTGATAATCATTAAGACAGCATAAAGTGTCTTCAAAAATTACCTCATATTTCTCCATTAAAAGAGATATATCCTCACGCATTTTATGTAATTCATTACCTTCAATAGCAACCATTAGGTCTTCATTAATTTTAATATTGTCTTCAACCATTAATTCCATGAAAATTACATAATATCAGAATTAACGGTTGAATTCCCTTCTTTTGTTAAATCCGTCCCTTCTATTTCATAAATCTTACCTCGAACATTATCAGCCATACTTTTGTTTCTAGCCTCATTTACGGACGAACCATTCTGTATTGCATAAATATTCCAATAATTATTGAAGGGACCTAGCTTGATAATCCAATTTCCGCCCATGATGGTTTCAACATCTTTCCTCACTACCCATAAATCCAGAAAAAATGTTGTATCATGGAGAATGACTCCCAACTTGGGTTTTCCCAAAACTACTTTTCAGACCCATCAAATTGTCTGACACACATAGATTCTTTTCCAAGTATACCCCCAATACTTATAATAATTTTTCCTATACATTATTGAAATGCTAGCCCCCGTGTCGAACAACATATCGATGCCTCTCGAGTCAACTCTTACTGTAACTCTCGGACAGGGACAAGGTTCGATTAATCTCTCAGTCATTAAAATCTCATATGTTCTAATTGACTGATCAATATTTATTCCATCTGAAACATCAGTTTCATTAGAATTCACATTTGAACATAAATTCAACTCGGAATTTAGCGGTTCTATAATAATATTCATATATTTTTTAGCAATATCACGAGGATACTTTTCCCATTTGAAATTATTAACATCCTTTTTATCTGGGTTAACAATACCCTTAGGATATTTTACCCATTTAAAATTATTATAACCTCTAATATTTTCAATTTTATCATCATGATAACAAAAATTTCCATTAAACTCACTACTTTCATGAGAATCATATCTCATTTCAGCATTATTATACAATATTAACATTTCGACTTCTCGGTCTCCTACCCACTAATACACCTGCAATCATATAGTAAGTTTTCGGCATAATTCATGGCCACATGTCCCTGTTTGTTACACTTAAAACACAAACGGGATTTACCAAAATTTGATTGTAAAACCTCAAATTTATTCGTGTTAATACCAGAAATTTTTCTAACATTAGAATTTTCCAATATCGATTTCTTTGATGGAAAACCTTCACGGAAATTTTTTTTTTGACAATACATGTCTCTACCTTGTGGCAATTATAACCACAGCGGGTACATCTCAAATCTTCACTGATTTTTTTATTCCCGGAGAAACCATTTTTTCATCGCAAATATTTTTCCTATTTGAACCAGTCTGACCACTTTTATTAATGAATTAATCCTGGATTTCGTATCTTGGACTCACGGTCAACACTATCAAAAATCAAAAGGAGAGAACTTGCAAAATATTAATTTTCTTACTTAATCAATCAACTTCACTACACAATTACTCAACTTAAAACTAATGACAAATTAAAAAGACAATACTAAGACTGATTACGTTTTGAATATTTATTTAATGATAAAAAATTCAGCAAAATGTTTATTTAAAAAAAATCAGTCATAATTATTTTGTTTTTTATAAAAACGAATCATCAATAAGAAAAATCCAATAATTTTTTTGTAAAAATCTTTAAAAAATTTAATAATAATTTGATCATTTTAAAAAAATCTCGAAAAATTTTTTATATTCATTTTAAAAAAAAATCAATAATATATATAAAAACAAAACGAGAAAAAACTTATATCAAAATGATTGACATTCAATAATTAAATATATTAATCAAGAAATATTACAAACTAGGACAATAACGTTTTCGATGGCTTTCCATAGGACGAATGTGTTTCTACTATTAAAGCTTAATTTCTGAGGAGATCCTATTTACCCCTCTTTTTCTTTGTTTCAATAGCAACAATGGTGGAACCCTTGTTTAGGGGAGTAATCCCGGGAAGCCAATAAATTAATTGTCCAGTCCCTTTACCTGAGGTGATAGGATAAGTTACATGCTTTACTGTTTATTTATTAACGCAAACTCCTTAATTAACACCTCGAGTTATCTTATATACATTATGCTTTAATATTTCTTACTTCAATAAAACCTTCCCTGTATTTTCTGTCTCCTTAATGTTCGGAAAGTAAAGTTGGTTATACTCCTATCCGTTAATATTTTCTCCCACTATTTTATTTATGGTTTACGGCACCAAGGTTTGTTCCCTCTTCATAGTGCACAGTGGGAAGTTAATTTGTACATTTGGATATAGTGATTCTTTACCCTTCCCTCTTCCTGTATGGTAGAGTTGGTATTTTTTTCCCCTTTGCATAATGATAAAACTGGTGACGCTTTTCATCACACAATCATATACAAAGTAATAGATCCCCTCCATCCTGAACATGTATTTTTATATCATTTTTATTTTTATATTTTTTATCTTTTGGAGTTATAATCTATTTTACTCTTTCTCTTCCAGTGTGGTTAAAGGCGAATAATGTTCTATGTATATTTCTCTATTATTTTCTTAATTTAAATCATATAATTAAGCATAATATATACAAATTACGAAAATTACAAGTAATTGTAATTAAGAAATAATTACATACTATTATCTGTATGAAAAATCGATAGCGTTCAATTGGTTTAAAGTGAAATTTACTTTGTCCTCGCTTAACATTAATGAATTAAAGAGAAAGTTTATGATTTTACTTAGACTTATGGCTGAAGAAAAAATAATTGTATTCGCGGTACAAGAAACTCACCCCAAGGATAACAACATGGCTACTTTTAACAACTTTATAATGTATAGTTCTAGTACCACTTCGAACAATTGGTCAGGGGTTACCTTCCTAATAAGTAAGAGAATACGTAAATATGTAGATAATAAATTTGTATCCATTTCTGAAAGATGTGGTTTGCCATGCCTGAACACCAGTTTTAAAAGGACAATTTTAATAAACGTCTATGCCTTGCCTAGCAGAAGAGGCTCCCTTTCTTAGATAACCTTGAAAACATCGTCAACCATAATTTGATAATTCTTAGCGACTTGAATACTAGGATTGGGAAGGAGGACTCCTTTTGGTAATGCATTTATTTCATAATTTAACAGTGATGATAATAGGAAGATCCTGGAGATGTGTAGGAGTATAATTAAAATTGAGAACCCCTTCTTCTCTCACAATGAAAACAATACTCAAACCTATAGAAGGAATAGCATCATATCACAAATTAAATTCTTTATCTCAAACATTCATGGTTGGTTTGGATGTGAAAGTAACGAATATAAATTTTCCGATCATAAATTAATCAGAGCAAGCATCACTATAAGGAATTTATGGAGAAACTCTCAACGGCTCTCTACCCCTAACCAGTCTAGATACCTTCTCTGGACAAGAAATGCAAAGTACCTATAACGACTGGAAGTAAAGCTCTAGTTAGATCGAAATTTAAGTGACATCGGAGTGGTTTTGTAGAGGAATGCTGGTTGTCCTTCAAAAACAATTTATTTAGAGCCTGCAAGATCTCCCCAATATTGACAATTCTTCTATGTGACACGTGGTTATTCGAAATACTGTTCACATAATAGCGGAACTTAAGTTACACGAAAGACGCGATGGCAACGTCAGGACTACAATCCATAGACTCCTTAGGACGGACAGAAGAATTTATATTCCAAAAAAAGCTTTCGAGATAGGTAATATGAGGGAAAATAGAATATTTGACGCCCACAAAAAGCTCAAATACTTCTAAAAAGCTAAAGTGTACACTCCCATAGATAAGGCTAGAAAACAATAAATTGATTACTGACCTAGATGAACTGATGGTGTTGTGATCATTATATGGGTATCCTTAATTCTAGGAGGCCAACCTCTAACTTTTCATTGGCCGAAATAGCTGCCGCCATAAATAAACTTAGGAATAATTAATCTCCTGGTACTGATAACATTACTGGGGAACATATGAAAACCACCCCCTAAGTGATTTCTCAGCTCTTAATTGTTTAATAAAATATGGCTCAATGGGACGAGCCAGCGGATTGGAATATGACTACCTTCTACAACTTCCCTAAAGTTACTAATCCAACCAAATTCAAGGATCACAGAGTCATCGCTCTTACCTCTATTGCATCAAAGGTTTTTATAGACCTTTTAAAAAACCGAATTCTCTATTCTACACCTAACCTTTTATCCAAATATATTTGCGCTTACCGTCTAACAAGAAATATAAACGAACCAATTTTAGCTTTGAAGATTATAATGCAGAAATGCGACAAATATAAATTACCCTCTTACTTTATTTTTATTGCTTTTAAACGCGTTTTCGATAATGTTAGTCATGATTCGCTGTGGAAGATCAGAGCATAATGCGCATTGACATTAGTATCATAAGGACATTAAGGGAGTCTTTTTGCCTCTTTCAAAATCTACAATAAAGTTTATGGATCCTTCAGAATTAAAAAGGGGGTTAAACAAGGGTGTGCTCCGTTGATGTTTAATATAGTCATGAACAAAATTATAATAGATATGCTGGGAACTGCGAATCTTTTAGAACTAAGGTCCAATCAGTAGTGTTTCTTGGAGAATCTGGTGATTAAGTTATGCGGATGACATATATGATCACAAAAAATTTGGAAGAAACCCAAAATTTAATTTTTACTAAATTTATTCAGTCTTAAAGTTGGTCTGGATATAAAATTTGATAAAACAGTGATAATACCCTCCCACCCTCTATGGATAACTTGGTAGTATGGGGCAAGATGGTCACGGTGGTGAATTCCTATAAATATCTTGGTGTAACTACTGACAATAGAGGCATTAAAAATCCGTATACAAAATGCTAGGGCATCTTTTTACAGATTTTTAAATGTGGAAAGCTAGAGAGCTATCTATTTTTACTAGATTTCGAATTTTCAATTCAACCATCATTCTAATTCTCCACTATGGTGAAGACATATGGTAGATTACAAAGACTGAGACCAAAAAGTTATTGACTTTTATAAATAAATGTCTAAAAATAATAAACGGCTTCTTCTACTCTAATATTATCTTGAATGCTAAATTTATAGTCATTTTTGAGTTGATGATTTAAAAAAGATTAATTCAATTTTAAAAAAATCTTCAAATTTATTTTTAAAATTTAAGAAAATTTGTAAAAGCAATAGAAATTAACCTAAAATAAACATAATAATTGTTGTAATTATATGCTGTTGTAATGAAATATTTATAATAAATGGGCATGATTAAAAAGATATCTTTATATGTAGTCTATATATATATTGATTAAAATATGCTTTATAATATATAATCCTCAAAGTAGGATGAATAAAAAGAAATAAGCATGAAAACTAGACAAATACAATCAACTAAAATTCTCTTAGTAAAAAAATATAAAGTTGTTAACATATCCAGATTTGTTAATATAAATATATTGGTCAAATTTTTTCATCATAAAACCAATGAATTTTATATGGTTTTATTAAAATTTTTTGGCATTTGAAGTGGAACCAACACAAATAATATCATAAATAATAAAAGCATCATCATCTAAAGATAAGGTATCTTTTTTGACAAATCCAGAACTCCGCCATAATATTGTCTTTTAAATTCTGAACATGTACCCATGCATTATTTGTCAAATATGATTTTATTATTTCTTGCATATCATTTTTTATAATATGAATGTCATCAAAATCAATTTCCTTTGCCTGGGCAAAGCATAAATGTGTTTTTATCTAGATAATATAAAATATAAATATTAAAATAAATTATTTTTCCTATCTAGATCATGATGTTTATGATCCTTTATAAATTGCACAATTACTAAATATGGTGCAATGATCGCATCAAGCTTGTATCTTACTGTAAAGTTAAATGTGCATTCTTTTCTAAAACTGAATGTCTTTCTTACTCCAGATCATCTTGACCTCTTTTTTAAAGAATATTTGCAAACATAAATTATTCTTTGATATTTATGTTTCATTAATTCACTACTACATGGATGTTTCAATAATTCTGATTTATAAATGGATATATTTCTTAAGTTTTCATTTTCATATACAACTATTGACTTTTTTAAATCGTCCATAGAATTAAATGTGGCATGTAGATATAATGCTATTTATCTTTATAAAACATAAATTATAAGTTAAAAATAATAATTATCTATTTTTTGATGAATTTCTTTGCAACTTTAGATATGGCCCAATATGATAAACAAAAATTATATAACTAAGTGACAACTGAAATTTTATAGTTCATATATAATAGAGTGCTTTTATTTTTTATAAAATATAAATTATAATAAATAATATTTACCTATTTTTTGATGAATTTCTGTTGATAAAAATAGGACATTTTTTCTTGGCGGGAAGGAAAAAAAAGGTTACATACATCCTATGCGTAAATTATAATGGAAAATAAATGTTCAAATATCGAGTGTGAAATTATTAAATTTCGTTAATATATCTTCGTAACTTTTTATCGACTCGGAAAATGCGTATAAATAAGAAAAAAGCCATTTGGCGTAAGTCTATCATCTCCCATTAAATAGGGTAAGCTTAAAATATGAGAATTGATAAATAGATTGGAAAATTTGATACTTTATAATTTAGTAGAGCATAAAAAGTATAGATATGTGACATCTTGGAAAGAAAACAAGATTTTTATAGAAAGAGGAAAATTATGGAAGTTTTCATCTAGATATCAATAGATATTATGAAAACAGATCATTTTACCACATTATATTTACCATAAATATGGGGGGGGGGGGGGATTTCCTACCCACATGGTTAAAAAGATATATAACATTAAATATGAATAGTAGAACACTTCTGTTCCATACGTTTATATCAGTCTGAATTGGCAGTATTTAATTTAAATTGGGCAGTAAAAAATATAATTTAGCAAGTTTTATATTGATTTTGTAATAAGCCAGTTGAATTCTTATAGTAAGCATTAAATACTTTAGTAAAATAATTTTATCAAATAGAGGGGACCAGGTTGAATTGCAAATTTCCTATTTCGCCACAGAAATTATAAACTTTCTTTTTATTATTTAAAACCTCAAATCTTCGATGGAATTTGAATTTTGATTTAATTAAAGTAGTGCTTGGGTCAAAAAATGGTATGAATGTATAAATCAGGGCCAAAATAAAAAATATAGGCTGGCCATTATCATTATTTAGGCTTATAATAATATTTTGCTTAATATCACATAGACTAGGTATCCAATTCGTTCATTTTATAAATATTGTTTTGTTTAATTTTCACCAAACCTGGATAAGGTCATAACATTATACATTATATTAGTTGGGGTTAATTAATAATAATCTAAAAATTTGGTTAGGTTTAATATTAATCACAAGTTATTATTCATAAATTTGTTTAACAATTTTATTTGGGAAATTTTTATTTGGAAAAATTTTACAGTAATTTTTTTTATTTTCTCAAAAATTTGAAATATTTTTTTTGGGTATTTTTTTTTCTCCTTTGTTAATTTTCTAAAAATAATTTAATATTTTAAAGGATCTAAAAAACGGGAAAATTTTTTCCGGAGAAATATTTTCTGTGGCAACCTTTTTTCCGGAGATTAATCTTCCTGCGAGTTTTTTGTCCGGGGATTTATTTTCCTAGATTCAATTATTGGATCTATAAAGTTTCTGCTGTAATTGACCGTTTAATTATCATATCCATTTTCATTAAGATTGTTATAATTTGAAAAAGTATTAAATTTGAAGATTTATCAATATTTAATTTACTCCTTCTATTTGTCAGTCATTATAGTTGAATCAGTATGGCCTGCTTACTGATCATACCCAAAAGGGTCTCTTTATCTCTTTTTTCAGTTTAGCAAAAAAAAATTTTCCATCATTCCTTGATATCCCACCTACAACCCAAATGGCATTCGATTTTAAAATCTTCCCTGTATTTTTCCTTTTAAAAATATGGGATTCATCTATTTCATCACATGCAAATGCCCCCCCCCCCCATATTTTACAAAAGAGATGGTCTGTGTATGGCAGCAAATTTTCTAAATTTTGCATACCTAAAAAAATTTATCGACAAATTTTATAGATATATATTGCCATTTTCCAATTTGTGCCAACCCTATTAACAAAAAAAATATTATACGTTAATTAATATTTATTAATTAAAAAATCTTCAACTAATGGCCACAAAAATTTTTAAATAACGAAAATTACGCGAATTCCATGAAAAAAATATGTAATTCTTAAAACTTTTGAGTAATGAAACTTAGAATTATTCAGAGTTGTTAAAGTATCTAGATATAAAAATATGGTATCTGTATCTAGGTAGATTTTTGATTAAAGTATCGATATCTGTATCTAGATATTATTTTAGAGGAATCTGTATCTGTTTTTATATACTTTTAAAGATACATTTTGATATATACTTTTATTTAAAGCCTTTTATATTATAAATAAATATTGAATGTAAAATTTATTTTATTTCATATGAGCATATAACTTAATATTAAAATATATATTAAAAAATTATATATATATGTAAAATATTAAAACTTATATATAAAAAAGAATATATAAATATTAATTATTATGTCCGAGTTATCAATAACAAGCAAATTCTGATATTACAATCCATCTCAAGGAATTTGCCATTTTTAATTGCAATGGAATTGGTATTTTATTTTAATATTAATTATTATATTAATTTTTCAGATTAACATTGAGGACGAAAATGACGACATTCCGTGACCAATTTATAGACCATATTTTAAAATAATATCTAAAAATAACAAATCTCTGTTAGTAAAATGTTTGCCATGTCTACCAAAAAATATACAAATTTCAGTTAGCATTACCACAACTTGCAACATTGTAGCATATAAGGGTAAAGATACTAAATAAATGTTTACAATTTTAATTTTAAATTTCAAGAGAAAACATCAAACACTCCTAATCCAAATAAATAAGGGGAAGGAGAAAAAATCTATTAAAGAAAATATTGGACTAGGCTCATCGTCCATTGATTTTTTTTCCAAGAGATCTCAGACTTTAACCCAAACCACTTTAGATGATTTAATACCTGATTTTGTTATAGATAGCATTCAGCCATTTTCAGTTGTTGAAAAATCATTTATAAAAATGATCAAA